GCAGGCACACACACACACACACACTAACACATTTACATGAATGCACAAACACAGACAAAAACACACACACACGCAGAAACATATACACACACATTTGCATGTACACACAAACAGACACACAAACATAGACACACACACAAATGCGCACACATACATTTACACACACACACACACACACACACACTCATACACACGCACGCACGCACGCACGCACGCACGCACACACACACACACAGAAACATATAAAGACACACACACACACACACACACACACACACACACACACATTTACATTAATGCACAAACACAGACAAAAAATTACACACACACACACACGCAAAGAAACATATAAACACACGCACACACACACAGAAACATATACACACACACACATTTGCATGTACACACAAACAGACACACAAACATAGATGCACATTCACAAATGCACACACAAACAAGCACATATACATCTACACAAAAAAAAACTCACACATATACATGTACACACGAGCTCACACACCCGGAAACGCAAACAAATAGACACAAGCAAACACACACACACACACACACACGGACCCACACATGAGGTGTTGCCTGCAGTTGGTCTGTAACTCTCTGTTGTGAGTGTGCTGCAGTAGGCAGTGTGATATGCCACAGTGTGACTGTAGTGAACCCTGAAGTACACTACGGTGTGTGTGGAGTGTGTGTGGAAGGCAGCGGCACATGCTGATGTGCAGGGAAGCATCTGGAGCTGTTGATGAGAGGAATGAAGACGGCGCACAACATTCGATTAAAGCAAACACCAGCGCACTAATGTCTCGCAGCTTCAGCCTCCGCGTGCGGACAACAGCACAACACTCTCACAGTTTACTGGCCAGCCCGTCAAGTCATCTCTCCGCCAGCTCACACACTCGCACAACAATACACACTTTATTATTCAATAAAGCAGCAGTATAATCCACTTTACTGTTTCCTTCCCAACCACAGAACAGGCCTTAATTGTGGGATTGTTGTGTTGTTCTGCGGCCTCGGATATCAGCGGTGGTCTCGCTTTAATAAAGCCAGCGGGATGCTTTGGTTTGCATTGGAGCCAGAGGTGTGTGTTAATAGATGGATAATTGGTAATGCTTCATTTGAAGCCCTCTCTCACAAAGGCCATGAAGAACTTCACAACATCCAGAGGAAGACGTCAGCGGAGAAACACGCCATCA